ATCTCTTTGTGTGCACTGAGTGGTATACAAGGGGCATAAACTATTCATGTGACTGGCTATAACCACAAGAGGCCACTGCAGATTCTTTTGGATGAAGGAAGTGCTCACAATTTCATAGATAGTGAGTCTGCTAAAAGGTTAGGTTGTCAAGTTGCTCCTACTAAGATTGGCTATGTCAACCTTGGTAATAACTCTATAGAGGCCACTTCTGGGGTGGTGAGAGAGACTTCCAATGGATGTTGCAAGGCACAACCTACACTTCTGATCTTATTGTTTTTCCAGTAGGCAAATATGATTTGGTTTTGGGAGCATTATGGATGAAAACCTTGGGGCCAATTACCATGGATTATACACCCTTAACTCTGTCATTCACTTATTGGGGCAAATTTCATCTACTTAAAGGAGTAGCTGAGGAGTGTAAGTTCTCAAGCACCAAGACTGTTAATAAAATGAATGGAGATGATGTCCAACTCTTCACGATACAAGTATTATTTATTAAGCCTGCCTTACAGTCAACCAATCAATTTAATGCACTGCACCTTCTTCAGGAGTTCCAAACTCCTGTTGTCATTGAAGAACTCCTATCTTAGTATCATCAGGTATTTGTAAAACCCACCACCTTACCTCCTCAAAGAGGTGCTTTTGATCACAGCATTCCATTGCAACCTGGGATTAAACCAATCAACACACGAACTTACAGATATTCCTCTATGAAGATAGACATCATTGAAAAGCTGGTCAAAGACATGTTGCAGCAAGATGTAATTCAGTATAGCAACAATCCCTTTCCATCACCTGTGGTGTTAGTAGGCAAGATGGATGGTTCCTGGAGATTATATGTGGACTACAGGGAGTTGAATCAATGTACTATTAAGGACAAATTCCCTATTCCCATCATAGATGACTTATTAGATGAATTAGCTGGAGCAGTGATCTTCTCTAAAATTGATCTTCAATATGGTTATCATCAAATAAGAATGGTGGAAGCTGATATTCCCAAAATAGCCTTCAACAATCACTTGGGCCATTATGAGTATTTGGTCATGCCATTTGGCTTAACCTATGCTCCATCTACCTTTTAGTGCCTCATGAATCACCTATTTCAGCACTTCATAAGGAAATTTGTTCTGGTCTTCTTTAATGATATTCTTATATATAGCAGGAATTTGCAAGATCATGCATTACACTTACAACAGGTGTTTGAAGTTATGTTGCATAATAGTTTGCTAGCTAAGCAATCTAAATGTGTCTTTGGAGTTGCAAGGGTGGAGTATTTAGGACACTTCATCTCTAATGAAGGGGTATCTACAGATCCTAAGAAAATCACAACTGTTCAACACTAGCCTACTCCCACCACACTCAAATAACTGAGAGGCTTCCTAGGGCTGGCAGGGTACTAGAGGAAATTTATCAAAGGTTATGATCTCAACAGTCGACCACTCACTGAATTACTAAAGAAGGATAATTTCAAATGGTCTGAAGGTGCTGTTCAGGCCTTCTCTACACTGAAGCTAGCCTTAACAGCTGATCCAGTCCTAGCTCTACCAGACTATTCTATTCCTTCTATAGTGGATACAGATGCCGGTGGAACATGCATTGGAGTTGTTCTAATGTAGAATGGTCATTCTATAGTTTTCATCAGTAAAGGTTTGGCCCCTAGACATCTTGCACTATCAGCTTATGAAAGGGAACTCCTTGCACTAGTCTTTGCTGTCACCAAATGGTCCCATTATTTGCTTGGTCAGCATTTATTGTTAAAACTGACCAAAAGGCTTTGAAGTATCTGTTGAGCAAAAACTGCACACTGATTCAGAATTGAGGTGGCTAGCTAAGTTGCTCCCTTTTGATTTTGAAATTCAGTACAAATAAGGGAAGGAAAATATTGCTGCAGACTCAGTTTCCAGAATTGATGGTGCTGAACTCATGTCCTTGATGATGTCTTTGGTTCAAGCTGAGCTTTAGCAGGAGACCACAGTTTGGTGGACTTCTGATTCTGAGTTAAGAAACTTCATTGCTTCTTTGCAACACACACCCCAGAAGCACTACACTTGGATCAATGATCAACTAAGGAGAAAGGGCAAGCTTGTCATAGGACATGATGCCGGTTTAAGGCACAAGATCCTCACCCTATGACACTCCACTCCTTCAGGTGGATATTCTGGAATTGATGCCACCACAAGGAAGGTGACTTCATACTACTATTGGAAGGGAATCGGGAAAGATATCTTGGACTTCATTCACAAATATTATGTATGTCAAAGAAACAAATATGACACTTCTGCATACCCTGACCTGTTGCAGCCTTTACCAATACCTTCGCTGCCTTGGACTGACATTAATATGGATTTCATAGAGGGATTACCTAAGTCTAAAGGGAAGACTGTTATTTGGGTCATCATAGGCAGGCTCACTAAGTATGGTCATTTCATTGCCATTTCTCATCCTTATACTGCCCAAACTCTTGCTCAGGTATTTTTGGATACTGTCTTCAAACTTCATGGGTTCCCTGCTTCCATTACTAGTGATAGGGATCCCATATTCATCAGCTCTTTTTGAAAGGAATTCTTGTCGGCTCAAGGTGTCACATTGCAGACTTCAACTGCTTACCATCCTCAAACAGATGGTCAGAGTGAAGTGCTCAAGAGGTGTTTAGAGACCTACTTGAGATTTTTTTGCACAGTTCTTCAACCGATTTGGGTGCCTTCTTATCTATAGCAGAATGGTGGTACAACTCTAGTCCTTATTATGCTATTCAACCCTCTCCTTTTGAGCTCTTATATGGTTATCCTCCTCCGATACACCTTCCCTATCTTCTTGGTGATTCTTCTGTTGATACTGTTGAAGACATCATGTTGGTTAGGGAATTCAAGCTACAACTGGCTAAATTTCACCTCTGTCGAGCTCAGTAGAGAATGCAAGCTCAAGCTAACAGCCACAAGTCTGATAAAGAGTTCTAGGTGGGAGATTTGGTCTTTGTCAAGCCGCAACCCTATATGCAGTCTACTCTCTCCATTTTTCCTTATCATAAACTCACTTCTAAGTATTTTGGTCCCTATCCTATAATAGAAATAGTGGGAACTGTTGCTTACAAACTTTTACTTCCCCCAGAGGTTCAAATCCACTCCACATTCCACATTTCTCAGCTCAAGTTCTGTTATGAGCTACCTACAGAAATTGTTCATCCTCCAATTTTGAACTTAGCCAGTCCCTTATGTCAGAAGCTGTGTTGAGCAGAAGATTAATCAAGAAAGGCAATAAAGCTGTCGCACAATGTTTGATCAAATGGAAGGACTTGGATGCCTCACAAGCTAACTGGGAACTTGCTTCTGACCTACGCACCAGATTTCCCACCTTCACCCTTAAGGACAAGGGTGCTGTCCATCGGGGGGTATTGATACACGTATTCCAGCTGCTACCAGCTAGGATGCCAGCTCAAATGCCATGGAAGCACACACCTAAGCCTATTCATGTGTTTGTTGTTGCTTGTTTCTTAATTTCAGTTGGCGGGAAAGTTACTTAAGCTCTAATTTTTAGCTTATGCATTTTCATAGATAAATAGGACAATTGTAATAAAGGAACACATGTTTTGAAGGACAATTAAACTTTGATCTCACTCTCCTTCTCTATTCTTAGCTCTTCTTCTCATCTCCTTCCTTCTTCCCATCCTCTCTTCTTCGTAATTACTGTTACATTGCCTCTCGATACCAGAATTTGGTATCATATTACAACCAAATTCAGTTCGCTCCTACTGTGCGGGAGTCTTAGCCGATCGGTGCCGTGTGAAACACATGAGGTATGTTAATTTGCATTCCCAACTACAGGGGTGGAAACACATCCGTTGTTTGTTTGATACCTCAAGTTTTGACTCAATTATAGCAAACAATGACATGAGCCCATTGTCATTTTCTTCTTCCTCTTTTTTATTTTCACCGTCTTCATATGCTGTCAGGAAAGCATCTTCTTAAATTGAGTGGTCCTAAGTTTGCCTAAAGAATCTGGTTCTTTAACTTATGTAATTTATGTGCGATAAGTAAAGAACACATGGATTTTACATGAAAAATTTACCCGCTCAAAAAGGTGCAAAAATCACAATTTAGTCTAGTAGAATTTAATTTCGAACTTCACTAAAATGAAAGAGCCAAAAATATTCAAACTACAACTATTGCAATCTAAGACTTAACTCTAGGTCACTGTTACACATTTTCAAGTCAACTCTAACTTAAAAATATAAACGTTTTACAAACTTAAACAATTATACTTTTCAACAAAATAAAGATCACAATTCAATAACCTAACAAGCTTGAACTAGGACTGTACTCAAGACTGGAGCAGTTGGTTATTACTTGAACTAGGACTGTAAGCAAACAAGTTTAGTAACCAAATATTTAGGAGTTTAAAATTAGGAAGGACTCCTAAGTCGCAGGAACTTTTTCCCAAAAATCCGAACGCTCACCGGTGATCATATCAAAATCAAAAGATATTCTTGATTATTCTGGTCATACAAAGAAAAGATAGTACAGTTATTTTTCCTAAAGTAACTCGTACCAGAATTTTTATCTTTTTATTACTGCACAGCAGTTCAAAGGAGTCAGTCACTCAAACTAGAGTACCTGATTCTTAGCACACATACGTTACTCAGTTTTATTAATCATCATAACACACTATATATACTCAATACCAGACAATCTAAATATTTTTTAGTAAACTCACTAAGAGAGGTAAAACACTCTCAATTGAATGCATGCGCCTCATGCTACCATTAGCTCATGTATAAACAAACTGTGGTACACGGGATCTTGACGTTTGTTTAAAAAGTTCCAAAATCAGAGTCTACATAGTCTGATTATACACTATTATACATATTTTTTAGTGTAACATGATATTTTTATTCAATGATTTACTCAGTGAATTCTTTTGGCATCGTTGGGAAGGCAGAATATTCACCCCTTTTTGTAACTTCTAAAAGTTTTTGGTTACTTTGAATTGTATAAATTGCAGAATTTATGGGGAAAACTCTATTCTGAGAATCCTTAACAATACAATAAAAACAAAATGGACATTTACTCATCGACCATATCAAGAGATGACATCTTTTTATCAGTATGCCTAGTTAGATTCAGCATAGCAGAAGTTTGAGCTTTAACTGCAGATTCTTAGTTGCTGCTTTTGCAAGACAGCCAATAACAAAACTATGCCTTTGTAGAAGGGAGGTCCAGTAGGACACTGAATAAAAATTTTAAATGGCTTTCTATGGGGTTATAATCTTCTTCCATTTCTCACAGGAAAGACGAAAAAGTTACCTCCTACAGTATCTCATCCTTTCACCAACCAACAAGACAGCAGAGCTTAAGCTCACGAGGGAAATCATTTCAAAGCAAACCATCATGGAAACAAATTGCCACTCTTTGTGCCTGCAAACATTGAAATGAATTCATAAATGGAGTATTATGTTGCACAAATCAGAAATCAACAGTTGTCTAAAAGATCCAGGGAAAGCTTCTAATGTTGCAGTTGGACAGAAAATAATAACTAGCAGAAACTGCAGTTCCTTTGTTTGGAGAGGCAAGTCCAAAGAAAAGAATCAGGGGATACATACTGGTGTTCTCGGGAATTAACGTGCCACCCATGCCACATAAACTAAAGGAAGGAAAATCACCTTGAGATAAGACATGATTATAGGCAAATCTTGAACTTAGATGCTGCATTTAGATGTCTTGAAACATATATCTTGCATTGCTAGTAGGAATGTCAAATAACTTTTGTCAGTGTAGCATCTAACTTCTCTCCGATCAATGTGATCCATGCCTGTCAATGACGGAAAAAAGCATGAGACTAGGGTGCATTTAAAAGATGGCAAAAGGGATACCAATATAAAGTGTGAATTTCATGACATTTGAATAAGTATCTAGAGAGAACAAATAAAGCTCAAACCACAATAAAACAACCATGGTAGAGTAACGTACTTAATGCTACCAAAAGTCATTTTAGGTAAGTATGATGACATACGCCACAAAGAAAACCATTTGTGTTCTACTGCTTTCCAAAATCAAAGGCGAGGCAATACAATTAAGTACAAGCACAACATCAATTGTGATACATACTTGGTCAGAAGATGTGAATCCTCTGATTGTGTCACCACCAATTATGGCAATTCCTTTGTCAGCTAGAGGTTGCAAGATTACTGCCTAATAAAGTATTATGGTTATCAGTAACCTTCAGGTGAAGATTGAACCTCCGGAAAAAATATAATGAATATGAAGGACGTATGATAACAGAGATCATATAGGTGTACACATTTGGTAGACTTTGAATGATGCAAGAATTATTTGAAGAGCAAAAAAAAATGCTCATTTGGCTACTATAGAGGTATCTGCACATCTTTAGTACAATTGATATAGTGGACTTAGGTGAAATGAGACAAAGTTGTATGCCACAGGAGAAAAGGGGGGAAGAAAAGTACAGGAGTTAATAGTACCTGTGTATATGAAGGAAGAAATGGTAGCTCCGACTTCCCAGGATAAAGAGATAAGTTGGCCAAGTAGCTCTCTGAAGATACAGACAATCAAGCTCATGTTATTCTAACTTCTTAACGGATGCTTGGAAATTTAACCAATGTCTTGATCTTTCAAAACCTGCTCTCGGGCTCATAAATCTTTCAACCACTTGTTTTAGGAATGAGAAGATATAACTATATCTCGAAAGCTAGAAAAAATGAGAAGTTCAAGTTAAATCACTCACGTGACGCTGATTTTAGAGCTCCTTGGTAAAGTGATCCTTCTATCAACTTATTGGTGTCCACAGCTACTGCTTCGCTTCCATTAGAGGATGATGCAGCAGCAAACCCAATTTGAAGGATGCATTTTCCATCATAAACAATGACCAGAGATCTGCAGCATGTGACATCTGATAGAGAATCCCAAGCCCTGTGGATTAGGAAAAAAAAGGAGTAACACTTCAGTAGGCGTTTGGACAATCTTTCGTTGAAGTTGAGAAGAAAGAGTATTTGAAGTTGAAGTTGAAAAAGAGAATCTGAAAGTTGAAGTTGCGTTCGTTTATGAATTTTACTTGGAAAAGAAGTTGAAGTTTTGTGATTGAAAACCATTACTTCTCTTAAAATACTCCTCAAAGAATTTTTCAATATTTCAGAGTATTTCAATTACTGAAATAGGTATTTGCAAATATTGATGGCCAAACACAACAAATAATCATCAACAAGTCTCTTCCATGGAGATCACAGGTTTTCTCATCTAAAAGAACATCAGGAAATGTATAAAATTACGATAAATTGTGCTTGTTTGGTTATATATCATTTGCACACTGGAAGAGCATGCTTAAGGAATTAGCAACACATTCTCTTTCAGAACAAGTTGTCTATTATATCGGTGCTATAGAACAGACAGTTGTGTTAGTGAATGCAGAATTCACACATTATTCACTATCTAGAATGATGCCACTTTTCCTTTATACAACCAATCATGCGCTTTCATACTCATTAAGAAAATCAGTATGGTAAATCGGTGGAGCTAGAGTTCTAGTTACAGGTTTAGCAGAACCCAGTAGCTTTGGTCAAAACCAGTATTTGTGTTAAGAAATCTACTTAATATGCATAAATAATTTACCCAGAACCCAATGAGCTGCCTTTTTTTTAGATTCACAACCCATAAACTCAAAATTCTGGATCCGCCTCTGCACAAATCCCTTATCCGCAGAGGCCAATAGCTGCTTTTGCCACTTTCTCGCTCCTTGAGGACTTGAGCCCCCAGCCTCATGGTTAGGTGGAGGGTCCCTTCCACAAAATCAACCCACTCTTGTCAACAAAAAACAAACTTTTCTAAATACTTCGAAAGACATAAACATTGAATATTTATAAGTTCAATGACCTAGTCTCCTGTCTACTGATTTGACAAGAAGTATCATGCAGCGTAATATGTGACCTTCAATCTGATTTTTTCTTCACAAAGGAAAAAATGATCGGATTCACTTCTCTGGTGCAACTTATAGTCATTATATAGATCATGTAATATGTATATATATACACAAACAGATCAAGTTCTCAATACTTTACGTGATCTCCAAGTACAAAAATAAGCAAAACAAAGAACATCTCTTTAAAAAATGTTCAACTCATAGATACAGTACCAGAGCAGCTCAGAAATAACAAAATCTGGTAGGTTGGACGCTATTCTTTGGCACTCCACACCGTTAGGATTTACCTGGAAAAGAATCAAAAGGCATAAATTGATCAGTTACTCTAATGGTGTAACAACACGAGGAAAACTAAGCAATGAGCTGAGCAGAGATAGTGGGACACAAAGTACATATCCTCATCTGTGTATGCGTGTGTAGACAGCCCTCACCACAGATATGGTTTTTGGTCGAATTGAAAGCCAAACAAGACCATTTAAGATGTTGGTGACGGCCAAGCCAAGAGTTAATAAATCTGCTCTGGATTGAGAACTGTGCGAGTTGAAAGCAAATAGTTTAAATAGTGGTCCAAGAATATGTTGAAAACTAATTACATGAGAAATAGGAAGCTCAAAAACTGTTTCCAATGTATTATGCAAAAAAGAAAAGTGCTGCTCCTTAAAGAAACATACTGTCTCAGCTACATATGATTGTGAAAAAACTTATGCATCCAACTCAATATCTAAGGGTAATAGGTGGAGTAATAAGATCATTATAAACTGATATGGAATCACTTATTTAACAAATATGGGACTTTTATCTGTTACAGATTTAACTTCTTCCCACATGTTTGACTCGTTTGATCTCAAACGTGGATTTTAAAGAGAAAAGGTTAAAGTGGCTTGACAAGCTGAAGAGTAGCCTGAAGCAAATAGCTAATGTACCTAAATTATTTTTATAAAGAGAGAGAGAAGCCTAGAGTAGTAAAACAGATGACTTAATGAACTTCAGAAGGATTAAAATTTAAGAAAGAAGATCAGGGCAGAGAAACAAACTAAACAAGCTAATTAAAGCTGGGCTATGTTACCATGTGAAAGAACCAAAACATCTCTTTCAAAACATTAAGGCAAAAGGTCAAGATATTTATAAACTAATTGGGAACCCATATTTAACCAATGTGGGACTTTGTTCAGACTACGCATCTAACAGTAAGTGAATTAGTGAACAAACTTTGAAATGGCTCGACGATTATTGGAGATTTTAAGAAACTTCACTAACTATTTCTAAAAGTCAAAGACCTCAGCTTTCTTTGTTACTAAAATACAAAGAAGGTATTGACCTATTAAAAGATGTTTTATTGCATTCAGCCAAAAGCTCATGTTGATAGAGGATTCATTAAATAGGTGTAATCTTATAAAGCAAAACTACTGCATCAATACTTCTACCTTACATCAGATGCAAATCTCGTTTCATACTTTAGTAACACTTTTCCTTTTCCTCTTAAGATGATCCATAAGTATATACCAAATGATGTGCGTGCATGTGTCTGTGTGTTTTTTCTCTCTTCTTTTCCTTTTAAACCAAACTTTAGCTGAAATCACCTCACATTACAAAGGATTTAACTTATGCAAACAGATAGTTTCGAAATTCTACCAGAATTACCTTCTTTTTCTTAAATTACTAGTTTCAAGTCGGATTTTTTAAGTAACTTGATCATGTAAATGCATAAAAAATTAAACTCATTGTAATACATACATTCTCGAATTACTGGACAAGATTCAAGCTACTCATTAGAGATAATATTCCAGGACATCAATTGCGGCCCCAAAATTCTCTCTCGTCTCTTTCAAATTTCACACCCCTTTGTAGCAGGCTTCTAAGAGCAACACATTCATCGGATAAACAGCCTTGCTATAGAAAGGAAGAATAATACTCCCTCTTCCAGTTTATGTGAACCTATTTCCTTTTTGGTCCGTTTCAAAAAGAATGACTCCTTTCTAAATTTGGTAACAATTTAGCTTAAACTTACAATTCTACCCTTAATAAGAAGCTTCTATAACCACACAAATACTCTGGGCCCCTTTTTGGCTTGTTTAGGACCACAGATTCCAAATGTCATTCATTTTTTCTTAAACTCAGTGCTCAGTCAAACAGGTTCACATAAATTGGAACGGAGGGAGTAACTGGCAAAACGATACTCCCTCCACTCCATTTTATATTTGTATGACAATGTTTTCTTATTAGTCCTTCCAAAAAGAATGCCACATTTCCATATTTAGAAACAATTTAAGTTTAAACTTCCATTTTATCCAAATGACATGTTTTTATAGCCAAAGAAATTGAAACGGAGGAAGTAGTAGTAGTTAACCTGCTAGCATCAGCGACGGGAGCAATACCGGAGGCCGTGCGATTGAAAAGAACAGCCAATAAAGACAATCCACCAACGTATATCGGCAAGCTCCGAACTAAATCATCATTTTTGGATACCCAATCTGCTATCAATTCCCTCCGTGGCTTCGGCCCTCTATACCCACTTCCTCCCTTCATTTCTCGTCACGAATTTTCCAAATGAGCTAATAACCAATAAGCACAAAGACAATGAATGTGGAATTGAGAGTACCTGGGAACTAATAGAAGCCTTAACAGTAACAAAGGAAGGGAAAGAGGAGAGGCGACGAGAATGTACAAGTCGTTGTGGCGGTTGGCTTAACGGAATGAAACCAAGGAGATTTCCCGCTTCCATTGAACAACAGGTTCGTTTTTCTGTCTGTCTGATTACAATGTTCCTAAAACGGATAATGTCTAGCTTCCAATCACAATAAATAATTATTTTAAAAAAAAAAAAAAAGAAAGAGTAAAGGCATTGTTAGAATAATGGGCCTAAGAATGGGCTTTTGGGTGTAGAGAAGCCTGGGCTAGTCCTAATTGGGTGGCCACGAAAAATTTAAAAATGGTCGGATTTTCGCCTGGTCAATCAAATTTAGCCACATAATCAAAGGTCAACGATATTTAGTTACGAAGTTAGCACGGTAATAATTTATTGACTAAAATACCCTTACTCTGTTATTAAATTTACGCGACTTGACCTCATATTCTTCTTTAGAACAATCTTACGGCGGTAATCTGCAAATCGAACTAAGCAGTCTCAATAAATTTTTTGATCACTTAGTGGCTACAACATCATATTCTTCTTTAGCACAAGCTTGCGGCGTCAATCTACAAATCAAAGTAAGCACTCTCAATTATTTGTCTAGTTTTTGAATTTATCTAGTTTGAATTTATTCTCGATTCTTCTCTTTGTAATTCAAACCAGAAAATTCAAAGTATCAGTGATATATTTGTGTAAAGAATCATAAAATTCTTCTTATTCTTCGAATTTTCTGGTTTGATTTTAATGCTTTAATCTGCGTTAATATCTAATTTTCTCAATGCGTTAATCTCTACTTCATTGTATTATATATCTTCTTTTCTGTAATTTAGATCGTAACTAATAAAATCTATATTGTTCAAAACCAGAAAAAATAATATAAAATCCCGCAGAACATACCGCCAGTATAATTTGCTGGACCTTTCTAAATTAATATCTAAATCTGACATACGTCCAGCTTAATATACTGAAAATATCTAATAAATTAGTTTTACAGTACTTGATTCCAAAAATGAACAAAACACAAGTATAATACCCCAGAGCTTTTTGAATTAATTTGCAAAACTCAAAAAACTTCAATGTATTACACTGGAAGTACATTTCATTCAAACTACTATATGTCAAATCAATAAAGTCTGCAGAATAAAATGACACACAATATAACGCCAGTATAATATGGTGGAGATTTTTGAATTAATGTCAAAATCTAAGATTCTTCCAGCTTATTATACTGGGAATATCTGTGATTCAACTAAGAACACACATTCGCATAATTTGTTGAAAAAAACACAAGTATAATATACTGGAGCTTTATGAATTAATATGAAAAACTCATAAAACTCCAATATATTATACTGGAAATATCTTTCATTCAAACTACTATAAAAAATTGTAAATAAAATGGTATAGAACAAAATACCAGTATAAAAAATTGGACTTTGTTAATTTAATATGTAAACTTTAGACACTTCCCGTATATTATACTGGAAGTATAATATAATGGAAGTATGTGTGACTCCAGGAAACCCAGTATAATAAGCTGGAATTTGCTTAATTAATATGAACAATTCAAATAATTCCAGCTTATTATACTGGAGTTATATTTTTTAACAATGTAACTTCTAAATATCTAATTATTTGATTCATTAAATACAGGATGCACACAAACTTGGTTATCGCATTCGATGGGAAATGGACAGCAGATTACAAGTACTTAGATCATAAAACGAAGCTTCTCCTTATAAATGATGGGACTACATTTGAAGAATTCATGAGTAAAATTTTCCAGGTTATGGAGTTCGACAACGACAAGTTTGGAACAAAAGTATGGCTTAATATTAACCTATGTACTGCTAAGGGAATACAAGTGTCAAAAGATGAAGATCTTATGTGACGACCCAAAGGGTCATCACCTGTTTTTAATTGAATTCTATGACTCCGAGGCCTTGAAAACCTCATTTAGAGTCGCCTCAATTTGCGTGCGCAGTCTGGGCGCGTAGCCAGAAAGCTTAAATATGAAATTCTGTGAAAAATGCTAAGTTTTGATGTTAAAATGAATAAATTTGACCTTGGTCAACGTTTCGGGTAAACGAATTCGGACCCGCGATTTGACGGTCCCGGAGGGTCCGTAGGAAAATATGGGACTTGGGCGTATGCCTGGAATCGAATTCCGAGGTCCCAATCCCGAGAAATGAATTTTTTAGTAAAATTATTTTATGAAATTATTTAAGGAAATTGGAAATGAAATCTGATTAGAAAGCGATGGTATCGGGCCCGTATTTTGGTTCCGGCGCCCGGTACAGGTCTTATATATATTTTAAGTCCTTTCTGTGAAATTTGGTTGAAAACGGACATCGTTTGACGTGATTCGGACCTAAATTGGAAAAATTGATGTTTTATGAAGTTTGAAAGAATTCATGGATTTTGAGGTTTAATTCGATGTTTATGATGTTATTTTGGCGATTTGATCGCACGAATAAGTCCGTAGGACGTTTTGAGGTTGTGTTTATATTTGGTTTGGAGCTCCGAGGGCTCGGGTGAGTTTTGGATAGGCCACGGGTTGCATTTTTGGACTTAAAATTTGCTGGTATGAACTGACCTGCATGCTTCGCATTTGCGAAGCCCGGCTCGCAATTGCGAGCCCGCAAATGCGACAAATCAATCGCAAATGCGAATATGAGGACTAGCAGCCTGAGTCGCAAATGCGACTCCATCATCACAAAAGCGATATCGCAATTGCGAACAACCTCTCGCAAATGCGATGATGGCTGGAGAAGCTGAGGTATCGCAAATGCGATGCAAATTTTGCAAATGCGAAAGTCCTGGATTTCGTTAGTGTTCGCAAATGCGAACATTATTCTCGCAATTCCCACATCAACAGGTCGGGGTTCGCAGTTGCGAACCCCTGTTCGCATTTCCCATATTAGAGACCTGCAATTTTTACACTTAAACGATTTTGAGCTTCATTTTTCATATTTTCTCAAACCCAAACACACTTAGGCGATTTTCCAAGAACAAGTCTTCTTCCAAATCAACTGTAAGTTAGTTTTTACTCATCTCTTTCAATCATTAACATCTTTTAACATGATTTCAACCTAAAACCAAAGATTTTCATGGGGGAAATTGGGTGTTTTGGGTAGAACCTAGGTTTTTCAAAAATTGGGGATTTGGACCTTGATTGGAGGTCCGATTTCAAAACAAATTATATATTTGAGTTCGTGGGGGAATAGGTAATCGGGTTTTGGTTCGAACCTTGGGTTTTGACCACGTGGCCCGGGGGCGATTTTTGACTTTTTGGGTAAAATTTTGGAAAACTCATTTTCATGCATTGGGGTTGATTCATTTAGTGTTTATTGATTTAATTAAGTAATTTGTGATTAGATACGAGCGAATTGGCGGTGGAATCAAGGGGTAAAGCTATAATTGAGACTTGAGTTGTGTTCAAGGCATCGAGGTAAGTGTTTGGTCTAACCTTAGCTTGAGGGATTAGGAGTTGAGTCCTATTTGCTATGTGATGATTGTTGAGTACGACGTATAGGCATAGTGACGAGTATCTATACGTTGGTGTCGATTATGACCGTGAGTCTTGTATTGTGATTTTCATGGTTTCATTGTATTCTTCATGCTTCGGTGATGATTCCTAGTTGTTGTGAAAAGTTTGTGGAAGGAATTGAGACCATTGAACATTTTGGAGCATTGGCTCGAGTTATATTATGAATTGTGAAAGTATATGAGATGATTGAACCCTTTGGAGCATTGGCTCAACTGGTAAAGTGAGTTATGAAGTACAAGTGAAAGATAGAGAAAGAGTTATTGAAATGTTCCCTTGCCGGGATTGAATTATTTAATTGTTGTTCCCTTTACTTCTATTTACTGATTTTCTTGTTGTTATTGGTTCAAGTGCATTAATTGTCTTATTCCACTATTACTGTGATTCTTTATGTTGGCATTTTCCTTTATTGTTACTTGTTATTATTGGCTCTAGATCCTTGCGCAATATTATGCCTTGAATTTATGCTATAATTGCTACATGTTTATGCGACTGAATTGCTACTTGACATTTAGCATACTAAATCTTAAATTGCCTATTTGCTCCTTAAAGTCCATAATTAAATTGCTACTTGTCATTATTTGTTTTCCTCGGTGAGTTATAATTATTGTGTACTTTGTTGTCTTATGAATTCGTATTAATTGTTGCGTTTGTTGGAGTAATTTCATTTGGAAGAACTGTTAATATAATGAAATGGGAGAGGGTGGTACGCCTACCACGTGATATAAGGAAATGGGAGCGGGTGGCACGCCTGCCACGAGATACAGGAAATGGGATCGGGTTGCACGCCTGCAACGAGATGTGTACCGACAATGAGATCTACCTTTGTTTTTCTTGTTCTTGTTAGTGGTTGGATTTTGATTCCTTTATAGTTCTCTTGATATTCTGTTTTTACCGGTTACTCCCCGAAGCATGTTTCCCCCTCCCACCTTTATTTGTTTATTTCTACTTTACTCTCCGCGGTATATTATACAACTGCACAGGTTTATGTGGTAGTCTGGTCTAGCCTTGTCACTACTTCGCCGAGGTTAGGCTAGGCACTTACCAGCACATAGGGTTGGTTGTGCTGATACTACACTCTGTACTCTTTTGCACAGATCCAGGTCTCGGACAGCAGCAATAGCTCGGGAGCCAGCTTTCAGTCCATCGAGACTCCGAGGTTGCCTTGCACGCATCCGCAGGCCCGGCGTCTCCTCTATCTTATATTTCATTATGTTATCTCATGTTTTCGAGACAACATTGTTGTATTTCTTTCAAACGATTGTATTTAGTACTCTTAGTAGTCCGTGGATGTTGTGACACCAGGTTCTGGTTAGAGGCATGTGTTGGTCTTCAGGATAGTTTGGTTTTATATTTTATTTAAGTCTTCCGCTTTAATTTCATATTTCGCTGTCATTTAAATATTTAACGCTTGTTGTTATGATAGATAAAATGATTTAAAATGAAATAGGTAGGAGTTTATGTTTTGTGGCTTGCCTAGCTTCCACGAGTAGGCGCCATCACGACTCCCGAGGGTGGAGAAATCCGGGTCGTGACATCTTACCTGGTGTATGATGCTTTTAAAAAACGATCCATACTATAAAGGTTCCAAATTTGTTGTTGAAATATCAGAAATACCAGATCAA